TATATATATATATATGTCATCAAGATCAACAATTCAATACAGACAAACAATTATCTCTTTCAAACAACTAAACAAGGGGGTCCCCAATATCCTTCTACAAAGTAAAACATGACACCAAACATTTATGTGTTTTACTTAGACCAAACAAGGGACTCTCAAGATCCCTCTATAGAACAACAAAATCACAACAAAGAGATTGGGACTAATCTCGTTGCCCAAAAAATTATCCCACGCTTAGAACGAGATAACTTACTCCTCTTTACCTCGATAGATGTTAAACGAAGGACATGAATCTCTTACATAAAATACAATATATATAATAATTTAACACAAATTATTAATTTCTTTAAAATACAATATATACATCCTTTTAACACATTCTTAATATCTAGTTTATTAATAACTAACAAGAAAAAAGAGACTTCATACCTCCGTCAATAAATGGATGAACAATTTATTTTTATACATGTTTTTTCTTATTTCATCTTTAACACATATATTAGCGGATTAAAAATTAAAATACAAAATAAATATATAATTAATTTTTTTAAAATGGACAAAAAAAAAATACATCCTTTATATATCGTTATTAGATTCCGCCCATGATGCTTGGTTGAACTAAAAAGCTTCCAAATTTGGCAGCTTCCGGTTGATGGTGAGCGAGCGTGACGCCAACCAATCATCATCCGTAGCAATGCACCGTTTTAATAAAAATGAGTAAACTATCGATAATTAATTAAGAAATAGATTAAAAATAAAAAGTCAAGCCACCTTACTCAGAATCAAATGTTATGTTCAACTATAAATATGGCTTACGCTTCCCGCTTTTATGCACATTCCAAGACTTAATTAAGCCCATACACAACACATTCAAAAACAGAATAACCACATCCATCATCATCATCAATGGCAGTCCAAGTTTATATTGTGTATGCATTTTTCTATATTTATTCTCATTAAGGGAATTTCAGTATTCTTTATTCCAAAATGAAAATTTTGCATTACTTTGAGATGCAGGTACTACTCCATGTATGGCCATGTGGAGAGACTAGCACAAGAAATCAAGAAAGGAGCTGATTCTGTGGAAGGTGTTGAGGCCAAACTGTGGCAGGCACGTTTATCTATTTTTCAATTTAACTGGAATACTCTATTGATCATCTAAAACTGATTCCTCAGTCTCATGATAAGTGTTGTGTTTAAAGAAAAAATAAATGTTATATTAGGTTAGCTTTTCAATGTAGCATTAACTTTTTCAATGAAACAAGTTTTCCTATATCTAATGTGATTAAGACATTAGTTCCAAAGATGTTAAAATTTTCTCTGTTGACTTAATGAAATGAAGACATGATCATGAGCAGGTACCTGAGACATTGGCAGATGTGGTGCTTGGTAAAATGAGTGCACCACCAAAGAGTGATGTTCCAATCATTACACCCAATGAGCTCTCTGAGGCTGATGGTTTTGTCTTTGGCTTCCCAACAAGATTTGGAATGATGGCTGCACAGTTCAAAGCTTTTCTAGATGCCACTGGTGGTTTGTGGAAAACACAACAACTTGCAGGCAAACCTGCTGGAATCTTCTACAGCACCAGCTCCCAAGGTGGTGGACAAGAGACCACAGCGTAAGAACCTCTCTCTATACAAACATACAATTTCTTTAAGGAATTAATAAATATCAAGTTTTCATTAATGAGAAATCATGGTAGGATATGTTAACATTTTCTATAAAACACATACAGTATAGTGGTATACAAAATCATGGTATATTGATGATGAGAAATTGTGAATGTATGTTATGGATCAGGCTAACTGCTATAACTCAGCTGGTTCATCATGGAATGTTATTTGTCCCAATTGGATACACATTCGGTGCTGGAATGTTTGAGATGGAGGAACTCAAAGGTGGAAGTCCATATGGATCAGGAACTTATGCTGGTGATGGTTCGAGACAACCAACTAAGCTTGAGCTGGAGCAAGCATTCCACCAAGGAATGTATATTGCTACCATCACAAAGAAGCTCAAGGAATCTGCATAATGTTAAGTTGAGTCAATAAAGATCCACAGTCAAAGGATGCTTCAAAATCGTTTATTATTGTTTATTCCTGGAATGTGTTGATTTCTGTTTTTTAGTGCTTGCATGATATAGTTTTTTTATTTTTCGAAAAGAAAGTAATTTGTATTGAGTTCTATTTTTATGTTACACAGGGCAGTAGTTACTGAAATTTGTTGAATAAAGGAAGTATGTTTTGTCTTGTCCTTAAGCCATAAAAGATGCTCGTTCCATTCTTTGTATCCCACTTTCTGCTAACAAGGGAAAACTTACATGCAGTTTCTTAAATATTTTTATTTTTTATTTAGTTGTTTTCTACTTATAACCGGAGTTTAATCTCCATTATTCTCAAAACAAAGGTTTATATTAAAGATTAACAGTAAAACTATAACTTTGAAAAAATAGCACTAAAAATTTACATTTATGCCCCCTAGTACTTATGTCAAATGACAATAGTGAAGGTCAATTTCATTGGGGAGACGTGTTTGAAAGAGCTAGCGTCTATAAAAAATCTACTGCACAATTAAGCTAATGATCTACCCGCCACGTGATCCTGACGTGGCAAGAAAATGGTTCAAAATTACTTTCTTGTATGTTACACAAACTGTTAATTATGAAGAAATTAATCTGTGGATATATGTGTGTAGTGTACAGCAGACAGCAGGTGTCTTAAATATTTGTTCACATTTCAAACTAATGCCTTCAACACGTTCAACTATTCAAAAGTGTTATCTTTATGATTTTTTTTCTTCTAATTTTCATAGAAGCATATATAAATTATACACTCCCTCGTGTAATAGCTATTATTATTGATATTGGCAGAGGACTTAAAAGATGTTTTTATTTTTTTAAAAAAATCAAGGTTAAAAATTCATAATAAATTTTAAAAAATAGACTAACCATTTTGGTTTGCAACATGCAAAATACAGTTTTGATTTTCTAAATCCAAATCAAAACTGTATTGGGTAAATCTAGCCTAAAAAAAGCCTACAGGTAACATCTCAGCTTCGGGTCATGCCTACAAACACAATCCTCTTCAGAAAGAAAAATATGTCAGTCTCCAAATTTAAAATAAATTTGATCGAGAAATTAGTAACTAATTAAAAAGATGTATAAGTTATCATTACTATAAGGCTTGCATTTCATAATCTGCAAATTGAACCGTCATTTCACTTGTGTAAGAACCCTAACAAGTGAACATAGACCTTGTAGATCAATAATGGCTGTGAAAGTTTACGTTGTGTAAGCACTTTATTAATATTTCTTGTCATCACTCTTGCTCTTTCTTTGTCAGAATTTCTTTTCTAGATATACTTTGTTAGTCTTGCATTCTTTCTCTGATTTTCGTTCTCTTATAGTCATTAGTGTTCCTGCTATGGCGTGGTTCAAAATGCATTATTTTTCAGCGGGTTTCTTTTACTTCTTGAATGGGTTCTTAAATTTGAAGTCTTTCAAATTTTAATATTCTTCCAAGGCCTTGAAGTCTCACCTCCTTGGATTTTATTTATTCTTGTTTTGACCCTGTGACTTTCATGCTTTATAATATATAAGATCTTGGTTTGTTGCTGAAACCATCCAAATCTTCATCTAGTCAAGCACACTTCCATTTTTATTTTATTTGGAGTGAGTATATTACTATATATTAAAGATAACAATCTGCCTTACTTAAGAAATAATGTTTTGCGGTCTATAGTAATTCTATCTTACTTGAGAAAGATGTTTATAGCTATATGTTCTAGACCCAAAAAAAAAATAACAATGTGTATTCTATTTTAACCACCTTGTTCAACTACCTACCCTCTGCATTTCCTATTTAATATGTTGCCCCAATAATGTAGCTCATTTTTATCGGTTTTACTTACAAAATGAAAAATTTTCATGTTGGATTGACAGGTACTACTCAATGTACGGGCACGTGGAAAGACTAGCAGAAGAAATAAAGAAAGGAGTCGATTCTGTACAAGGGGTTGTGTCCCAATTGTGGCAGGCATGTAGATTTAACTTTTTAATGCTAATCCTATCTATGTATGTTTTGTGGGTTTTGGGAGTAATTGTTGAGATTCATGGAGTGGTGAATTAACTCAAACTTGGAGTATAAAAGCCATATTGAAAAATCCGATCCATTTTGAAAAAAAATCTAAATCGAACCACTTTATAAAACCGGTTCAGTTATCCGATCCATTTTTACAAAGTGGATCGGTTCGGTTCGGTTTAGTTTTCTAAAAAAACCGATCCATATATGAGTAAAAAAGTGGATAATTGCACCGCATTGAACCGATCCAATTTCAAAAAAACCGATTTATATTTTAAAAAAACCAAACCGATCCACTTTATAAAAAATGGATCGGTTAACCGATTCACTTTTATAAAACGGTTCGGTTCGGTTTGGATCGGTTTTTTAAAAAAACCGATCCATGAACACCCCTAACTGCTGTTCGGTGTCTTAAATTCTAAACCCTAAATTCTAAACTCTCTTAAATAAGATTCGAATTTTATTGATAAAAAAGATATAATTAAAAAAAATAAACTTTGATCAAATTAATTAATTGGAATTTTTTTATATAATAATTAATCTAACAAAATTAATAAATATTTTGCACTAATAATCCAATTTTAAGAAGAAAAAAGAAAGTCAGCCACAAAATTCACGAGGTTGAGATATTGACGTAAGATTAAAGTTGGAACACGCACAGTTCCTTGCACGCGAAAGACTCGTAATAATGTGGTTCACTTCTCTGATTAAACATCATCATCAAACTGTCTCTGTTAACTAGATTAACAGATTCATTAAGGAAACCACTAATTTGGACGCATGTACTTTAATTAATGATTTTTTTAAGTGTTGACTAATTAGGGTTTAAGACTTTAAGTTGTTTCAATGTTGTGCGCCAGATATTATTTTCACGGAATTGGTAGCAATTAAGTAGTTTGATGTGATAGAATCTTTGTAGTGGTGTACCAATGGGTCATCTCATTGTGTGCTAAACGCTTAGTCATAAGTCAACAAAGGAAAATACTATATAGTAAGGATTTAGCAGCACAAGAAATTCAACTGAAATAATTTGGGAGCTTGACTAAGGTTGAGGTGAAACTTCTCGCGCGAGCAAATTGGGTGGCCCAGAATGATAGCCCTTTGACTTCAATTAACTATATATGATTTTGCAAAATTAAAGTCTTTCTTTGACAACTTTGACTTCAGTTTTTGAAACAATTAAAAGGTAATTTCTTTGAATCGAACAAAAATTCTATTGCTATTATTTTTTTCTGGAAATTAATTTATTTAAAATTATTAATGAAAGAATATACAAAGATTGAACTCTCAAAGATATAAAATTAGATAAAGTCACTAATATGGTGCAAGAATCAAAACTACTAAGGTTAGTCACTCGACCTACTAGTAAGGGAGTTGGGTTATACATAAATGGTCTTAAGTTTGAATCTTAATATTGTTAATTGTAATTTTGATTGATTAAAAAAATGATCAAGAGAAATTAATGTTTTTTTACCATTTTTATTCATTTATTTAAGAAGCATGTTGAAATTTTAATATACTACAGTTGTGCATATGTGATGAGAAAATTTGAGTTTTGTTGAATCTGCCTAAATATATGTTTTAATAATGACAAGCTCTTAGTTTTAAATTTTAATATAAAAGAGTTCTCAGTTGAAGTACTAACAATCTTGTTCAAGTGTTTCAAAGTTGTTTTTATGTACTTAGAAAGTTGTCTAAGCCTAACAGTTTAGAAGTTTCACAAGACATTTAAGATCGGTTAAAATTTAATCGATCTTAAAAGTATTTTTAAGGTCGGTTATTTTATGACCATCTTAAAAGGTATGTCTAACACAACTTTTAAGATGAGTTATAAAAGAACCGATCTTAAAAGTTGAATCAGACATAACTTTTAAGATCGGTTATTTTATGACCGATTTTAAAAGGGCTACTTTTAAAATCGGTTATTTTAGAACCGATTTTGTATGTAGTATACAAAACTGGTTCTTAAATAACCGATTTTAAAAGTATCGTCAGAAACCTTTTATATTTCCCTCCATTCTCATTCTCTTTAATCTTTTCCTTCATTCCTTTTTTTACTCTCTCGCGCTCTTATTTTCTAAAGTATCTAATAAGGTAAATTTCGTTGTCGTTTTTGTTTTCGCTTTCGTCTTCTTATGATCTTCTTGTGTCTCTTTTCGTTTCTCATATTCTTCTCTTATCTCTATTTTCGTTGTAGGTTCCTTTTTGGTAAATTTTGAATCTGAAACGGCCCGTTCTGTTTGCAGTACGGGCCGTTCTACAAGGAGAACAGCTCGTACTGCAAGGAGAACGGGTCGTTCTGATGTCCGTTTTGGTTTATGCCAAACTATGCTAGAACGGCCCGTTCCACACTATCTTTTTAGGCCTTTTTAACAACATGGAACGACCCGTTCTAGTTTTGGAAGGGCTCGTTCGAGTTTAAATTTTTTCGGAACTAGGACTTTTAAGATCGGTTATAAAAAAACTAATCTTAAAAGTTAACTTTTAAAATCGTTTATGTAACCGATTTTAAAAGTCCAACTTTTAAAATTGGCTCTTTTAAAATTGGTTACAGAACCGATTTTAAAAGTTAAAATAATCAATTTTAAAAGCCTTTTTTCCACTAGTGCATCACATGCTACTTACTATTATCGTCACCAATATTGCCACCACTATCAATTTTATGTTTGTGATCACTATTAACATTGTTTTTTATATCACTAATGTTACTATCAACACCACTATCATCATAATTTTTAATACCATCATTAGGGATGGCAACAGGGCGATGCGGGTACGGGTTTCATGATACCCGTCCCCGCCCCTGTCCCCGCGAGCCAAACTCATCCCGTCCCCGTACCCGTACCCGTCGGGTATGTGATTTTCATCTCCATCTCCGTCCTCGTCGGGTATCGGGTATACCCGTACCCGTACCCGCGCCCGTCAA